CATTTGTATATTGGGGTATAGGCCTATATGGGTTTTGTAGTGAGGCGCATATTTGGATATATGTTCCTCAGAAGCCATCTACCATGTTTTCTAGGACCCTAAACTCACCGGTTACTGGGCCGGGGAGTAGGGGAACCCCATGTTTCCCTTTCACAGCAGGTCCTCAAGCTCAGCTTTTTACCTACTGAACCACTTTCTCCCTATAGAGCTTTAAAAAAAATTATTATTATTATTATTATTATTATTATTATTATTATTATTATAAGTGTATGCATGCGTGTCTGTGGACAGGTATGTGTCCTGTGGACAGGTGTCCACACAGGCCAGAAGCATTAGATCCCCTGGAGTGGGGTTGCAGGTAGATGTGAGCTGCTGCTCAGTGTGAGTGTTGGGACCCAAACTCAGGGCCTCGGGAAGAGCAGTATGTGCTTTTACCTGCCAAGCCATCTCTGCAGACCCACTATGAGGAGGGCTGTTAGGTTTTGGGGTGATCTTTACATTTTTCTCCAAAGACCTAAGGGTATTATCAGACACTGCTCAGCACAGACAACCTAATGCCTCTTGATTCTCTGAATTCCAAATTTCATGAGAAATAACATCTTTTAAAAGCCCACAAGGGGGTCAAGCTCCAGCAGAGGTACCTTTGGCCCTAAGGTGTGTGGTCTGTGATGGATGCATGTGGTGCCAGGTGAGCTGAGAGGCTCTCGAAAGATGAAGGAGGCAGTCTTCGCTCTGTCCTTTCCAGAGAGATCTTACAGCATATTGTAAGTCCTTTGGCTTCATGAAGCAATCTCAGTTTCGTTTTGTCATGGTTTGTTGTACCACACTGGAAGATCTTGTGCCTGTGTTGACCACATTACAAACCCAGGGCAGACTAGAAACTGTTCTCCCGAGTCATCCAAGGGCTTCTGAAGAGACTGAGGAACAAGCCGGAATTCCCCCGTTCACTCCTAAGCTTCTCTTCCAGGTCCACTGCTCCATTCTTCCTGTGCACTGAATGGCAACTCTGCCCTCTGGGAGAAGCAGACCTGCCCCCCTTCACGCCAGGGTGACTTCCTCTCAACAGCTTTCCTCATTGGTGTGGAACTTAGAGACCCGAGTGCCTGGAACCCCATCTCTGTAGCCTTGGGGGATTGGCTGCCCCTGTGCTCATGGTCCCCGGATGTCATTTCTCATGGCTCTCAGCTCCTGTGTTAGCACCTGTCTCACCTCAAGAGGCCCCATTGTTTCCCCTGGATGCCACATCTCTATTCTATTCTTCTCTGTCTTCCCCAAAGGGAGTTTTCTATGTTGCCCAAGCCTGTGTGGAACTCCAGGGCTTGAGTAATCCTCCTGCCTCAGTTTCCTAAGTAGCTGGGACTTACAGACACACACCACTGCCCCTGTCCTTGGTATATCTTAAAGGTCTTTGTGTCCCAGGATCTAGCACAGTTCCTGGGCCCAACAGGGAGTTGAGTAGTAGTTATCAAGTTAAGTAATAAGTGACTACGAATATAACTAGTTTTTAACTGTGCTATGGCGCATGGTGATCCTGAAAGACAGAGGGAGATGGCTGGGTCCTGCAGTCCATTAGGAAGGCCCAAGCAGAGGATGAGTTAGATGACTGAGGACTACTGATTTATAATGTCCTATCAGAAGGAAGTCCCCACACTTCTAGCCTAAGTTAGAATGTGGTTCCAAGAGCCTACCATTCCTCCTTTTTTGTTTTTGGCAGGAATCTCTATTGGAACGATGACCATGAGTCTGGGCCCCTTGTTGTTGGTCTTTGTGCTGGGTCTCGTTGTGACCCCATCAACTCTGGCTCAAAATGACGCCAGGTATATCAAATTCCTGACTCAGCACTATGATGCCAATCCGACGGGCCGGAACGACAGATACTGTGATAGTATGATGAGACAACGAGGACTCACTTCTCCCTGCAAAGATCGCAACACCTTCATTCATGGCAACAGGGACAGCATCAAGGCCGTCTGTGGAGAAAACGGAAACCCTTACAAAAATAACTTAAGAATAAGCATCTCTGAATTCCAGGTCACCACTTGCAGTCATAGAGGAGGGTCTCCCCGGCCTCCGTGCTGGTACCGAGCCTTCAGAGGTTTCAGACGCATTGTTATTGCCTGTGAAAACGGCCTGCCTGTCCACTTTGATGAGTCTATTATTAGACCAAGGTAGGCAGGCCCCTCACCCAGAAATGGCTCTGCTTCCTTTTTATCCCCTCTTAACCCAGAACAATGATGGCAACTTTCACTGTCAATGGCCAGAAAATGAAGTATCTGAAACTTAGGTCTCAGATTGATGATGCACATAAATAAAGATGTCTCTAAAGCCATTAACAATCCGTCTGGAAGAATCACTAGTTCCTAGATAATTTACCTTTTCGTATATTTTCTACTCAGCTGCTCCCTGGGGTGAGGGGCAGGAGCAGAGATGTTCTTCCTTACCTGCCAGTCAGTGGGACGGTGGACTTCATCTTTCTGTGGTGGTGAGGATGATAACTGATTTACAGATGGGACAGATGAGAATTTTTGAAAGAGTCAAGTAATAGGTCACCAAAGGAGCCTTTAGAGAAAGGAGTTACAGTTAAATGCTGGTACACCAAAGATATCCTCCCCACCCACTCCTCCTTTCTCTTACACACAGCACACAAACCAGCAGAGATGTGAGCACTGGGGGGGCAGACACAGCTTCATGCTGCCCATCCTCAGCAACTTAATGAGTTCCATTAATTTCTTTAAGGACCTCAACTCTGGCCAAATCAGATTCATGGTTTCACACACAGAAAAGAATTTCAAGACTAGCCTGTGTGAAGCAGAGTTGGGGATTTTTATCAAGGATAATTTTAACATAGACTATCAACATCAAGGTTGTGAGAGAGGCACTCAGAAAGTGAGACATCCCAAATGTGGGTATGGGCTTCCCAGCCGAGTTGCCCTAAACTGGGCCCAAAGTTCCACTTTTCCAGTCTTCAAGCTGTGGACCAGTACTTGAGTGAGCCCAGCCTTCCTGACAGTATTCAAAGTGGGGGAGTCAGCTGCTGATGCTCAGCCCAGGAATCACCACCATCTCTTCAGAAAACAAGAGGAAGTTTCCCTATGTCTCTCATTACAAAAATTATCTTTTAAATAAAAATTCAAAGGCCAGTGAGGTCATTCAGTGAGGTAACGTGGTGGCCACCAAGAGGGATGACCCAAGGTTTTTCAGGGACTCACATGGTAGAAGGAGACATCCTGCAACAAACAAACAAACAACAATAACAATAAAAATCACATGCCTGGATGGGTCTTTCTCACCCATTGATGGAGAAGCAGTCCAACACAGTCTTGGTGTGTTTGAACTGAGTCTCTTGCTCTATCATAATGCAAAGCTATTTAGAGTGAAATGTCAATTTACAGGGAAGGCATTGTGTCTCAATAAGACATTTGAGAAACAGAAGACGGAATCATAG